TGGGGTGGGTGTTGGGTGGTGAGAGGTACAGGGAGGTAGTCAGGGCCAGATCATGCAGAACCTCACGTTGTTAAAGGATATGGCTCTTCTTCTGGGGACGGTGGCAAACTGTTGAAAGAGTTAAGCAGATGGCTGGGATCTGATTTGCACTTAAGATAACTTTGGCAGTAGGAAGCAGCTGGAGATAGGAGTGGAACTGGAAGAACAGTGTCACTAGATGAAGGAGTCAGCAGGTGGTCTCGGAAGCTGGTGGGGGCAGGATGAGAGTACCCAGGAAGAGCTCAGAGTGAGAAGAGCAAGGGGCAGGGGTGTAGCCCACACAGTGAGAGGTGTGTTGAGGAATAGAAGCCAAGGAGAAAAACCAGGAAGAAAGCATGTATTTTTGTACTCTTACCTTGAAAAAAAGTATTCATGTATTTTTTCCTTCATTTTTCAAAAAGTGTCAAAAAAGTATTCATATATTTTTTCCTTTATTTTCCAAAAAGTGTTCATATATGAATCCAGCCTTTCTTGAAGTTTCCTGGCTTTGCACTTCTCTATCCAGGTCATTTGTTACCAACAGCTTTCAGTGTCGTCTTATTTCCTCACAGAGAAAAAGTAGTCTTCAGGATCTCAGAGGCCTCTTAAAACAGAATTTTTGCGTATGCTGCTTCTTTCCTGTGTCCTGGCAAATGTCTGCAGAAAACCACCTATGTAGTAGTAGCAATGCTGGGCTTTATTGTCAAGAAAAATAGGAGACAGGATAGGAGAGTTGGTCAAGAGGGAATGAGGGGCCGTACCCCTCTGATCTGTATGTGCCACAGGAAATGGACAGAACCTGTTCTGTACCCCCCATCCCTGCCACATATACATGGGAATTTTATAGGGCAGTCTGACCTTTGCATCGTGAACAAAATTTGTTTTATAGGAAATTGTAGGATCGGCACACTAGGGAGTATGTACAATTAATTTTTTGAACTTCCTCCCAGAAACCTCAAAGGTGCTTTACTCTCTCCTGGTTTTCAAAAGTTTATGCCTCTTAATGCTCCTGTGACTGGCCAGGCGCGGTGGCTCACGCCTGTAATCCTAGCACTCTGGGAGGCTGAGGCTGGTGGTTTGCTCGAGGTCAGGAGTTCGAAACCAGCCTGAGCAAGAGCGAGACCCCGTCTCTACTATAAATAGAAAGAAATTAATTGGCCAACTAATACATATAGAAAAAATGAGCCGGGCATGGTGGCACATGCCTGTAGGCCCAGCTACTCAGGAGGCTGAGGTAGGAGAATCGCTTGAGCCCAGGAGTTGGAGGTTGCCGTGAGCTAGGCTGACGCCACAGCACTCACTCTAGCCTGGGCAACAAAGCAAGACTCTGTCTCAAAAAAAAAAAAAAAGAAAATACTCCTGTGACAACAGAAGGCAGCCAGGATGACATGGCAAACTCCCTGGGCTGCTCCTGCCAAATCCCAGGTGGCTGCTTGCAGGAAGGTTTCTATAGTGACCAGAGGCAGGAAAAACCTGCCCACCCAGCTTTGCAATATCACATCCGGCTAGGCTGGCCCCTGGAGAAGTGGCACATATATATGTGTACATACACTCTCACACACACAGATAGCATTGCGTTACATAGCTGACCCTCACAGACTCCTCAAAATATGTCCAGAATCTAACCATTTCTCAGTGTTACCACAGTAGCAAAGCCAACTTTGCTTCTGCATGATCTTTCATCCTGACTAGTGCAAGAGCCTCCTCTGTGTCCACCGCCTCCTTGTTTGCAAGGTGGCCAGAGGGAGCTCAGAGCCCTCCTCTAATTTCCCAGCCCCCTGAGAATGAAGCCCATAGTCCCCACTGCACTGTGAGGTACCCATGGCCCCTGCTGCGTCTCCTCCCACTCTGCTCCCCTCACCCCCAGGCTCTCTGGCCTGCTGGCTGCCTTCTCTGCAGGCTGCAGCCTGCCAGGGGTGCTCCTGACTTGCTGCCCCTTCTCTCTGGTCCCCTTTCCCTCAGGTAGCCACAGAACTTGAGCCCTCACTTCCTTTTGGTCTTTGCTCAGATATCACCTTATTCTAAAAGAGCTTAAAAGAGCTTTTCCTGACCACTTGACATAAATAGTCCCTCTCTTCTGATACTCTCCATACCTTCGCCTTGCTTTATTTTCCTTGTAACATTATAGTTATCACAATGCATTTTTCTGTTACTGTTAAGGGCCGGGTGATGTCTTCTACTTTGCATCCCAGCCCATAGGAGCATGCAGGCTCCCAGTGGTGCTTGGTCCCTGTTTGCCACTGAATGGATGAGTGGGATGGGAGCCACGGTCAGGAAAGAGAGCTGCTCAGGAGAATTGCCTTCCCAGCCCCTCAGTCCTCCACAGCCAAGGTAGCTCATTCCCTCCACTACAGGTAACTGTTTTCCTTCAGCTTTTACTCTGCTCTTCCAGAAGAAACAACCAGACCACTACCTGCAGGGTCGCTGGTGAGGAGGAGTCTCTCGTGATCTCAGTTGGGATGTTATGTTGAACCATATAAAATTGTCATTTTTGTAGGTCATAATGGATGAATATCAGTAATTTCATGTGGTTCAACATAATAGCTTTGAGTAGATCTCAATGTAGAGGGCCCAGATATTAACAGTAACTTCTGGGAATCATTAGGACTACTAATTGTCTGATGCTTAGTGAGTACTTGCTGTGTGCCAGCCAGTGTGCCAGGGCCTCATTTGTATTATCTCACTTAATCCTAATAACCACAGTGAGGCATAGGCATCGCTGTGCCATTTTATGGATGAGAAAACCAACATTCAAGTGAAGTAAACTTGCCCAAGGTCCTAACAAGTGGGTAGTGGCAGTGGCAGAGCTAGGATTTGAGTGCAGACCTGCCCGGGGACGTCTGCACTTTTAACCACAGAGGGCGCATGCAAAAGCCACTGCCCCCACAGCCGACTCGTGGTCGTACAACCGAACACTTCCTGGCTGCTTTCCTATTGACACTCCAGTGGGTAATAGCAGGTTCTTTCTAGTTTTCATAGGAGCAGGAGCTTAGAAATAGAAAGTTAGAGGAATCCCTACTATTGACTCCCCAGTTGATAGCTTTTTCTTTTTAAAATTGAGATACAGAGATACAATTCACATAACATAAAATTTACCATTTTTAAAATGTATAATTCAGTGGTTTTAGTATATTCACCATGTTGTGCAACCATCTCCACCATCCAATTCCAGAACATTTTCATCACTCCAAATAGAAGCCCTGTTGGCAGTCACTCCTCCTGCCCCCTTCCCTTCAGCCCCTGGCAACCATGCATCTACTTTCTATCTGTATAGATTTGCCTTTTCTGGACATTAAATGAAATGTCCAGAAAAGGCAAATCTATATAAATGAAAATAGACTCATACTATATTCATCCTTTTGTGTCTGGCTTTTTTCACCGAGCAGAATGTTTTCTGGGTTCATCCATGTCGTAGTGGGTATCAGTACTTCACTCTTTTTTTATGGCTAAAAATATTTCATTATATGGATATTTTCATATGTTTTATAGGTATCCCATCAGTTGATGGACATTTGAGTTTTTACTTTTTGGCTATAACGAATAATGCTGTGAACATTGATGTACAAGTTTTGTGTGGACATAGGGTTGTTATTTCTTTGGGATGTACACATAGGAGTGGGATTGCTGGGTCGCGTAGTAACTGTTTAATCACTGAGGAGCTGCCAGACTGTCTTTCACAGCAGCTGCACAACTTTCTCATCCCCCCAGCCATGAAATGAGGACTCCAGTTCTTCTCCGTATCCTCACCAACACTTATCATTGTCTGCCTTTTTGGTTATAGCCATCCTAGTGGGTATGACATGGGGGTCTCATGGTGGGTTTGATGTGCAGTTTCCTAATGACTAATGATATTGAGCATTTTTTTACCTGGTTTTTGGTCATTTGTATCTCTCCATTAGAGAAATGTATATTCAAATCTTTTGCCTGTTTCTAAATTGGGCTATTTGTCTTTTTATTGTTGGATGTTTTTTGGGTTTTTTTGAGCCAGAGTCTCACTTTGTTGCCCAGACTAGAATGAGTGCCGTGGTGTCAGCTTTGCTCACAGCAACCTCAAACTCCTGGGCCCAAGCGATCCTCCTGCCTCAGCCTCCCGAGTAGCTGGGACTACAGGCATGTGCCACCATGCCTGGCTAATTTTTTCTCTATATATTTTTAGTTGGCCAATTAATTTCTTTCTATTTATAGTAGAGACGGGGTCTCGCTTTTTCTCAGGCTGGTTTCGAACTCCTGACCTCGAGCAATCCGCCTGCCTCAGCCTCCCAGAGTGCTAGGATTACAGGCGTGAGCCACCGCGCCTGGCCTATTGTTGGATGTTTTTTAAGAGGACCAAAAAGGGAGGAGGAGGCAGGGGTTTAAACAGTGACAGGAGGGATTTAAATTAGGTTGTACTTGCTAACTTAGTTGCCCAGCTGCAAGGCCAGCGAAGCCTTGGCAGAGCAGACTGCCGGCGGGGAGGGAGCAGCAGGGGAAGTGGAGGCTTCTCCTCAGCAGTCCTGTGCTCGCTGAGTGGTACCTCAAAGACTCTGGCTCAGAGAAACCTATTCACAGAGGTTTTGTTTTCTTTTTCTTTTTAAAAAAACATTACCTGAGCACAGGGCTCTGGGGAGTCTGTATGTGATTCTCCTTCTGTAATAAAAGGGGAACTGAGTGCCTACCCCCTTTGGTTCCCAGAGGAGTTGAAAACATTAGTTATGTAGCTTCTTCAAAGTGTGTCCTCTCTTAGACAACATGTTCAGATAGGAGCCTTTTTCTTTCAGAAAAGAAATAGGATTTCTTTCAAATCCTGTGCCCCCTCCATTGTTTGTCCTTAAAAAATAGGGACTTAAAAAGACAATTAAAAAATGGGCAAAGTGTGACTTTTCCCTTCTGTTTTCCACAGTGGCCAGGACTCTGGACTTGCAAAATCAGAGGGTAGGTGGAGGGACTCACCTTTGCAGAAGAGTGGGTGCTTTAGAATGACTTCCCCTTTACTCTCCTAACAGGGCAGATGTTTCTGAACCAGATGAAGCCTGAGGAGCCTTCCAGCTCTAAGATAGCAGGATAGCAAACTTCTAAGTCTGGAGCCGCAGAAGGCTTGCCCTGCCTCCCAGCACGATGTCAGGTAGAAGCAGGGACTGGACTTGGAAATGGGGTATGAGGCTCCCACAGAGGAGCCAAAGGAATGGGAGCTGGCTTGTTTGTTTTCCACAAAACACCATCCAGATCAGAGAGGTGGAGGATGGGGAAGGCTGGCTCTGGCTGTCTGAGCAAGTTACTAAAACTCTTCTCAGCTCAGCTCTCCAGTTTCTTCCTGCCTCCCCCCTAGTCTGCAAATCCTCCTTAAAAGAGGAAGAGGCAGGGGATGATTTATGTTTTATATAATATGTTGCTTCTTTTCCCCCCCTTTCTCTAGAAATGTGCTCATTTCTAGGTTTCTTCCATTCTGACCCTTCCCCACCTGTCCTACATGAGATGGCCCAGTCTCTTTAAGGCTGGTGGGTGCTCTGGGAGGGAGAGAGAATATCTTGACTTGAGTTTTGCCTCTGCATTTTCTTCACTGTTCTCCTATTCCTGATCCTCTTTGGTTTTAGGAAGCCACACACCTGCCAATGGCCCCTTCTCAGCCCTGACTTCGAGCATGTGGCCCCAGGAGATCCTGGCCAAGCAGGTACAGCACTTAGTCCAGGCAGGCACCACCTGCTATGGTCTGCAGGCTGCCCCAGAGTGGGTGGCTGACTCACACTGGATCAAGGGGTCAGAACCAAAGATGGATCTTAATTGCACATGCCCGTGTGAATCAGTCACTATGCTGGAGGACAAGTATTATGGCACTATTCTCTCAGTATTATGGGGATACAGGAATACATAAAACATGTTTCTTGCCTTGATCTTATTATCTTTGATCTCGGAGAAGAACAAGGAGAATGCTAGCAGAATTCAGGGAAGGTAGTCACCCCCTATAGCTGAATGATGACCAGAGAAGGCGTTGTCCAATGGTGGCCTTTAAGCTGAGTCTTGAAGGCTGGGTGGAATTTCAGCAGGCAACCATGTGGGTGGCATCTTCCAGAACTTATGGTTCCAACGAGGAGATAGACAACTGATTTTCTTCCTAATCCTGGTTCTAGAAGGAAGAGCCAGCAGAGCAACCAGAGTTCTTCTATGACGAGTTCGGTTTCCGTGTGGACAAGGAAGGTAAAACGAAGCCCCTCCTGTGTGATCTTGCTGATGTCCTTGGAGGGACTCCAGCCGCCATGACTGGAATTACATAGCACGTTTGACCTCTGAGTGCTGGATGTTTCAGCTGTTCCAGATTTAAGGACAGAGGTGCATTCGAGAGTGATGCTGTTATAAATATGGAGACCTCTGATTTTTTTTTGAGATAAATTTTATTGTTCTTCACTTGATAAATAAAAGCAATAGAGAAGTTGAAAAATTCAGAAAAGTATAAAGATTAAAACAGAATTAACCCATAATCATATAAACCTGAAGATAATTACTGATATTGTAGTGTATTCTTTTCCTGGTTTTGCATGTATCTATAGATACTTTCCATAACTAACGTATATACATTCTAAAACATTATACTATCAGCATTTTGCTATGTCAGTTAAGACCTCTTTAAAGTCATATATGTCAATGGCTACATAATATCCTATTATAATGGATTTATTTGTAATATTTTTATAACAATTTTTGTATAAATGAGCCTCCAGGCCATTTCTCTCTCTTTTTTTTTAACTCTAAATGATAAATGGCTGGGTGTGGTGGTTCACGCCTAGCACTCTGGGAGGCCAAGGTGGGAGGATTGCTTGAGCTCAGGAGTTCAAGACCAGCCTGAGCAAGAGTGAGATCCCGTCTCTACTAAAAAAATAGAAATTAGCCAGGCAACCAACAAAAAAAAAGAAAACAAAAGAAAAAATTAGCCAGACCTGGTGGCACACACCTGTAGTCCCAGCTACTTGGGAAGCTGAGGCCAGAGGATCGCTTGAGCCCAGGAGTTTGAGGTTGCTGTGAGCTAGGCTGATGCCACAGCACTCTAGCCCGGGCAACAGAGTGAGACTCTGTTTTAACCAATCAATCAATCAATTAAATGGATCTATTGATTCCCCAGTAGACTGTTAGGAAGGCCTTTTACCAGGACCCAGGATGGCCTGTCACCAGGCCAGAACCATGGCTAAAACATTTTAATTGGCTGAAACTAATGTTCAGGTCACTCATGTTTCCCATTCTGACATAAGTTTTCCTTGTTCTTCTAATTTGCAGGTAGCTATTTGGTGGTTAAAAGCTGGCATTGAGAGGGAAACAGGGAACTTTCTAGTATGTTGGAACTGTCCTATGCCTTGATGGGTCTCTGGATTCAGAGTCCAGAGTGCTCACCATTACACTGTGGAACCGCTGTATCTTGACAGGGACAGTGTTTAGACATTCGTTTATTGAGACTCACCAAAATGTACACTTAAAATGTGTGCATTTTACTGTATGTAAAGTCATTACAGTTGATATTTTTAAAAGCTGGGCTGAGGGCTTGGCTTTAGGATGAATACAGGTGAGTCTTTCTGTGGAGCTCACCCACACATAGGTTGCAGGGTTGCCAAAGAGAGCACATCCTGGTTCATTCAACAAAGATTTCATGAAGCTGCCTGCGGGTAGTGCACTCTTTGCGGCTGTATCCCCAGTGCCTTGAACAAAACTGAAGGTGGTTTTGACTGCATGGAGTTTTCATTCTGGTGGGGGAGCTGGGCAGTGAACAAACATAATGTGCTCGGGGCAAGAAGAGCTATGAAGAAAATTCTGAGACTAGAGAAGGGAAGTGAATTGTATATAAGTTGGTCGGGGAAGGCTTCTCAGAGGAGGAGACGCTTGAATAGAGACTGAAGGAAGTGGTGGAATGAGTGTCGCTGAGGAGGGGAAGTGAGATGCAGAGGCCCTGAGGTGGGGCTGGGCTTGGTGGGAAGAGCAAGAGGGACGTTTCAGTGGCATTCGGGGAGCGGGAGGAGGGCAGTGAGAGGTGAGGATGGAGGGGCAGGGCTGGGAGGAGGCAGCTCACAGGCCCTGGCAGGCCTTGGGCTTTGAGTGTGAGTGAGCCAGGCACCACAAGCAGGTTCTGAGCAGTGACATGATATGACTTGCGTTTTAGAGGGTCACTGTGACTGCTGTGGAGAGCAGCCTTTGGGAGGCGAGGTGGTGCAGGGAGGCCAGGAGGGCTACTGCGGCGATCGGAAGGATGGTGGCTCAGATAAGGGCAGTGGTCCGGGCAGTGAGAAGTGTTCAATCTTGCACACCTGCTGCTGGATTGAACGTGGGGTCTAGGCACGGAGTCGTCAAAGGGGACTCCAAGGTGTAGGCCTGAGCGTCTGGGGAGTGGTGGTGTCATTTCTGGATCTGGGGATGACGGAGCTACGGGTGGCTTTGAAGGAGAAAGTGAAGAACTGGGGTCTGTTCGCCATACGGAGGCCTGCCCGATGCACACCTGGAGCTGTCAGGAAGCCATCGGCAATGGGAGTGTAGGTTTCAGGGAAGAGGTCTGGTTTGGAACCATAAAGCTCATGTTTTCCTCTCTCCTCTGCTCACTGCTGGTCTCTCCCTGGCTCTCCCCTGGCAGAAGGTGCTGAGCCTGGCTCCTGTCTGCTGGCAAGCACTGCCCTGACGGAGGACCCTCCACAGAGGCTGCGGTGGCAGGCTCACCTGGAGTTCACCCATAACCACGATGTCGGGGATCTCACCTGGGACAAGATCGCAGTCTCCCTACCCCGCTCTGAGAAGCTCCGCTCCCTGGTGCTGGCCGGCATCCCACATAGCATGCGGCCACAGGTGAGATGGCCACGGGGGTCGAGAGAGTCGTGGCCCCTGTGATGAGCCGTCACAGGAAAGACTGAGGCTCATGTGGCTCCTTCCCTTAGCTGTGGATGCGTCTCTCTGGGGCCCTGCAGAAGAAGAGGAACTCCGAGCTGTCCTACCGTGAGATTGTGAAGAACAGCTCCAATGATGAGACCATTGCGGCCAAACAGGTGAGGCCAGGTGGCCAGGGGCCCTGCAGGAAGAGCTGCCTGTCGAAGGCTGTGTGCCCCCCAGGAGGGAGGTGGTCTGCCTGGGGTTGGGGGCACGCCCTTGGCGGGGATGGCAGCCCTTCCACCCACAACAGGAAACTTGCTCCCTTCTGGGTCCTCCGTAAGCCATGGGAAAATTGTCTAAAAGGCCACCATTGCTGTGGAAAGACAGGGGGAGGTGGGTTCACAGCTGGGCTCCGCTTCAGGAACAGCTGGGGATTCTAATCCAGGGTGCAGGCTCCTGCCAGACGTTCTCATTCAGAGGTCTGGCCTGAAGTTCCCCAGGTGCATTTGGTGTGCTCGGCTGCACACTAGCTGGGATCTGATCCTGGAGGGAGGGAGGGAGGGTGATTTTGACGCAGAGCATGAGGAATCCCATTCCTGGGGGAGAAGCCCGCCTGGGCTTTGCCTCTCCCACAGGGTGTCACAGGGTCTTGTTGTTGTGGGTGTTGGCGCGGCTGCGTGACAGATTGAGAAGGACCTGCTCCGCACCATGCCCGGCAACGCCTGCTTTGCCAACGTGAACAGCATCGGGGTGCCCCGCCTGCGCAGGGTCCTCCGGGCACTGGCCTGGCTCTACCCAGAGATCGGCTACTGCCAGGGCACGGGCATGGTGAGCATGGCCCAGGCGGTGGCGGGTATCCCAGGTCTTCTCCAGGCCCCCTGAGGGGAGCGATGTTACCTTCCAGGGCAGTGGAACGGGAGGTGGGGGTGACGTGGGTCCCCAAGGAGGGCAGGGCAGCTGTGCATGTTGTCCAAGCAGCATGGGCGCCCGGCGGGCAGGAGGCTGAGGCCCGCCGAGGAAGGTGTGCTCTACAGCGCATCCCCACAGGGGCTTTTCTGGTTGGCATGGAGACCTAGGTAGAGGCCCTTTGTTCCCCTGCCCTGGCTAGGTGGCCGCCTGCCTGCTGCTGTTCCTGGAGGAGGAGGACGCCTTCTGGATGATGTGTGCCATCATCGAGGACCTGCTCCCTGCCTCCTACTTCAGCACCACCCTGCTGGGCGTCCAGACCGACCAGCGGGTCCTGCGCCACCTCATCGTCCAGTACCTGCCTCGCTTGGACAAGCTGCTCCAGGAGCACGACATCGGTAAGGCCTGGCAGCCACCTGGGGGTCCTGAGACACTGGCTGATTCTGCAGCCCTGAGGCCTTATGCCACACCTGGCAGGGGCTGACGGCCAGGCTGTGGACACAGCACCGCAGACTCCGTTGCTCTCGCTGTTTTGAGCAGGCGAGGCCTCTTGCCACTCTTCGGGAGGTGTCCTCCACCTCCTCCCCAGGCTGCCCTGTGGCCAGGCTGTCCCTGGTCCCTGCCACAGTGGCCGTGTCTGTTCACAGAGCTGTCCCTGATCACGCTGCACTGGTTCCTCACGGCCTTCGCCAGCGTGGTGCACATCAAGCTGCTGCTGCGCATCTGGGACTTGTTCTTCTACGAGGGCTCCCTGGTGCTGTTCCGGATCACTCTGGGCATGCTGTGCCTCAAGGTGCTTGCCGAGCCCACTGTCCCCTCCGCTGGCAGGCGGAGGAGCAGGAGCCCCTGTGGGGTGGGTGGGGAAGCTCCCTGGACCGGGCAGGACCAGCCCGATGGCCATGCCAAGGGGGCACAGGTCTCTGAGGATGGGGATGCCCAGCAGTGACAACCACCTCCCCTGTCCTGCCCTGGCACGGCCCAGGAGGAGGAGCTGATCCAGTCAGAGAACTCGGCCTCCATCTTCAACACGCTGTCAGATATCCCATCGCAGATCGAGGACGCGGAGCTGCTGCTGGGGACGGCCATGCGGCTGGCCGGCTCACTCACCGACGTGGCTGTGGAGACCCAGCGCCGCAAGCACCTGGCCTACCTCATTGCAGACCAGGGCCAGCTCTTGGGGGCCAGCACCACCACCAACCTCTCTCAGGTGGAGCGGCAGGGGGAGACTGCCCCTCAGCCCACAGCTGCGGGGCTGTGCTGTGAGGAAGCCCAAAGAGAGAGGGCCACAGGGAACAGACTGGCCCTTCCCGCCCTGCTGTTCTGCCCGGAGCCCAGCACGTGAGGCCGGCATGGCCCAGTCAGACCACAGTGGGGCGCCCAGCCCTGCTCGGGCGTCTAGGGGCTCTGCCTCTCACACAGCTAGTTATACTGTTCCGATGCCCAGAGCCGGCCTCAGTGGCTGTTCAGATGAGACCATGTGAAAAAGGCTGGTGGGTTCGCTCCCTCCTGGGCGGGGGTGCCGGGGGCCACTGCCGACCTGCTCTCCCTCCCTGTAGGTTGTTCGCCGCAGGACCCAGCGGAGGAAATCCGCCATCACCGCCTTGCTCTTCGGTGAGGACTCTGCTGCGGGCACTGAGCGGGCAGGCAGTGCGGACAGGCCGTCTGTCCTCACACCTAGCGTGGACTTGGGGGCTGCTGCTCCTCTCGGGTCCGGGGGAGGGCTGTGGTCACCATTGCTCTCTGGGCCTCCTAGGGGAAGACGACCTGGAGGCACTGAAGGCCAAGAACATCAAGCAGACAGAGCTGGTGGCCGACCTCCGGGAGGCGATCCTCCGCGTGGCACGCCACTTCCAGTGCACAGACCCCAAAAACTGCAGCGTGGTGCGTCCCTGCTCCCGGGCCCTCCCTGCCCGGCCCTGCTCATGCTGCTGAGGCTTCTCCCCCTCGGTGGCCTTTCTGTCCATACCACCTCCGTCTACTCTGGCAGGAGCTGACCCCGGACTACAGCATGGAGAGCCACCAGCGGGACCACGAGAACTATGTGGCATGTTCACGCAGCCACCGGCGTCGGGCCAAGGCCCTGCTAGACTTCGAGCGGCATGACGACGACGAGCTGGGCTTCCGCAAGAACGACATCATCACGGTGCGTGGGAGGCTCAGCCACCTGCCCGAGGCCGTGCCGGTGTCCTTTCCTTGCCAAGGGCTCCTGCTTCAGAAAATGGGGCCGAGTTGCTGAGCACAAAATCAGACGAGGTGTGTGCGAGGCCCTGGCACCCAGCTCTGTTCCTGCTGTCTCCCCCTGTGCAGATCATCTCTCAGAAGGACGAGCACTGCTGGGTGGGGGAGCTGAACGGCCTGCGAGGTGAGGGCCTCGCGTGCTGTGGAGTGCGGACTGAGTCGGGCACTCTTGCCACCTCCATGCCGTCCCCTCCCGCTCATGCCCGTGTGCGGGCTGCGCCTGCTCTGTCCTCAGCCCCCCGGGAGCAAGGGTGGGGCTGCTCACAGGGCCTGCTTCTCCCGCAGGCTGGTTTCCAGCCAAGTTCGTGGAGGTCCTGGATGAACGGAGCAAAGAGGTGAGAAGGGCAGGATGGGGCCAGCACCCTCCTGGCTGGGGCCTGTGCCCGAGTGAGTCCGGCCTTGTGGTGGGTGAGTGGCATTGGGCAGGGGCTTCTCAGACCCATTTCCCCCATCAGTACTCCATTGCGGGGGACGACTCAGTGACAGAGGGCGTCACAGACCTTGTGCGAGGGACTCTTTGCCCGGCCCTCAAGGCCCTGTTTGAACATGGACTGAAGAAGCCGTCCCTGCTCGGGGGTGCCTGCCATCCCTGGCTGTTTATCGAGGAGGTAGGTGGGGCTGGACTCCTGTCCCCCGCACCAGCTCTGCCTCCCCACAGTGTCCATCTTAGGCCCTTCCGACCCATGGGCCCCGTGGAGGTGCAGAAGGAGCACAGGGTGGTGACGTGTGCTCTGTCGACCCTTCCTGTCCTACACCCGCACCGTGTGCCGTCCCTTACAGGCAGCTGGCCGGGAGGTCGAGAGAGACTTCGACTCCGTGTATTCCCGCCTGGTGCTCTGTAAGACATACAGGTAACTGGTCCCTGCCCCGCATTCTCCTGGCAGGGTTGCCTGCTGCGGGGAGTGGAGGGGCCTGACCCTGTGCCCACCTGGCACACCAGGGAGCTTTGGTTCCTTCTCAGGTTGGATGAAGACGGCAAAGTCCTGACCCCAGAGGAGCTGCTGTACCGGGTAAGCAGGGCCTGCTCTGCCAGACCCTAGACACCTCTTCTGGGATGGCCAGTGGGGGTGCCTGAGTGACAGCTGTGCCCCCTAGGCTGTGCAGTCTGTGAATGTGACCCACGACGCAGCACACGCACAAATGGACGTCAAGCTCCGCTCACTGATCTGCGTGGGGCTCAAGTAAGTATAGAAAAGGGGTGGCAACGGGACAGGAGGAGCCGCAGAGTAGGGGCGGCCCAGCCTGGCATGGGAAGGGTCCTCTAAGGGGAGCCTAAAGGACAGAGAAGGAATCTCAGGGACTTTGGTCCTGCTTGAGGCCTCACCTTCCCCACGGAGGGCGGTCTGGAAGCTGCTGGGAAGGGCAGGTCAGAGCATCCACTGTGGGCCACAGCCAGAAGGGCCGAGAGCAGCCCCTGCTCCTCCTGGCCTTGTCCCCAGCGAGCAGGTGCTGCACCTGTGGCTGGAGGTGCTCTGCTCCAGCCTGCCGACTGTGGAGAAGTGGTACCAGCCCTGGTCCTTCCTGCGCAGCCCTGGTTGGGTCCAGATCAAGTGTGAGCTCCGGTGAGGACCATGCCTGGCTTCCGGGTCGGGGCATGGCCAGCTCTGTTGGGCCCAGGGGTTGGGGGATGGAGGCAGGGGTGGGTGGCAGGGCCCACCGAAGGTGACAAGAGCCTCACCCCACCTCCTCACCTCCAGCGTCCTCTGCTGCTTTGCCTTCAGCCTCTCCCAGGACTGGGAGCTCCCTGCGAAGAGAGAGGTGGGTGCTATGGGCTGCTCCGAGTCCCGAGTCTGCCTTCCCGCAGGCTGCGTGGGCGGAGCTCCTCTGGGGTTTCTCGGGTGGCTTAGGTGGGGCCCGGGTGAGGGTGGCACCAGCTGTAAGAACTGCTCTGGCCCCAGGCACCTTGGGCTTCTTGGGCATCCCCAGCCCAAGGCCTGTGAGGTGAGGGGCTGTCCCTGTGTGCAGGAGGAGAAGCAGCCGCTCAAGGAGGGCGTCCAGGACATGCTGGTGAAGCACCACCTTTTCAGCTGGGACATAGACGGGTGATGCTCTTCCTCCAGCTGCCCTGTCACACCCAGGCCTCACCCAACCCACTGACTACCAAAGAGGCCCAGCCAGCCTCAGGCCTGCTCCGGGACGGGTCTGAGGTGGCCCAGGCCCACCCCAAGCTGTGGGGTCTGGGGAAGATGCTCTCTAGAGCCCTGTGACTGGGAGATCAGGGTCTCCCCAGAGCACTGCTGGTGGCAGGAACAGAAGGTGGGTGCCCAGCCTACCTCTTCCTCCTGAGCGCCTGGGAGGTGGGAGCTCGGCCTCCCCAGGCCCTTAGTGAAGCCCCAGGCCCCAACTGCAGTTTGTACCGACCAAACACCTTGTGAGGAGGTGGAGAGCTGCACTTGTGTGTCAGTCTTTGCTCAGGAAGGCAGGTGTGGGGTGGCTAATGGCAGATAAAGGCTCCTTGGCCTCTTTGGTTTGTAAATAAACTATGTCTTTGAGAAAGTGCCTCCTGTCGTCTGTCCAGCCAGAGGCGCAGAAGTGTCCAAGGTTCCGCCCTTTCCAGAGTGGTCTAGAAGGCACAGCCTGGCTCCTTTTTCCTGTACAGGTAGGCAGCCTGTGCTGCACACTCCCCAAGCCAGCCCGACGGGGAGGGGGATCAGGCTCACTGCCTACCCCTGTCCCCAGGAGCCAGCCGCACTGCCTTCCCCTTCCATGGATTGAATGAGATGGACTAACAAGCGGGTGTTTTTGTTTTTATTTTAAAAAGTTCACACAGCTTCCCCACCTTTGTCCCAGCACTGGTTTTGGTGACTCCATCCCTACTCCCCTATGTATGAATCAGGGAAAATGAGAGGCCACAGCTTCATGGCCACCTCTCAGGCCCACAGCAGGGTGAAGCTAGGCCCAAAGCTCCTCCTGTCCCAGGGCCGTGTTGGCTGCAGTGAGGTGAGGGGGACGGAATGTGGGTGGAGAGCTCCTGGCAAGATGGCCAGGAAGCACCTCTGCCCTCGTGGCACTGATAAGGAGCCAGGAAGCTGGGCAGGCGGAGCCGTGGCAGGGTGTCTGCATGTCACACACACGTGATGGGTGGGCCTGGGCAGCTGCATACTAGGTAGGGCACCAAAGCATGTGGCACACAGCTCAGTGGTGACCCTGCATCTAGTACCCAGGAGCTGTGGCCCTGTAGGCCCCTCTGTACGTGAGTAGGATGGGAGGGGGCTGTACCCACCTCCTGCCCCCCCCAAAATATATGTATATATGTATATCAATATATAATATAGAGGTATATACACCTGTACAGAAAACCTTTGCCACCAACCACTAAATGGTTACACTATACCAAGACACTAAAACAGCAGGGAGCCCCCTCCCAGGGAGCCTTGGGAGCCTGAGGTTGGCAGCCACAGGGAATGGGGAGGTAGAGGCCCAGGCCAGTTTCTTCCCTTACAGTGAAGGGGAAGAGACAGGAAGGAGATTCCTCCCTCAACTCACCTCAGAACCAGAAGAGCAGCCTGCTGGCTGGGCCTCACCTACCTTAGCCAAACTGCAGCCAGATGGTAAACCTCTGACCTCAAAAAAGGAGGTCGAATAGAAATGGCCCGACCCTGTCCAGGCCTCCAAAACCCCAGCATGGGACCCAGGGTTGCTGCCTGACAGCTGTTCTGTCCTGGGTGAGCCTGAGCCAGGAGGAGGGCCCCTCTGCTCCAGCCCCCAGGAAAGGAAAAAAGCAGGGACTGTGATTGTCAAGACACAACCACGTGGAGAGGCTGAATCAGGAGCCATGCTCGCTCAAGTTCCACAGCTCCCCAACTTCCATCCCCTCCCCCACCCCCACCCCGTCTCTGGAGCCGAGAACTACAAGCAGGAATCCCAGTGTAGCTGCAAATCATGGCCATCGAGGAAGTCTGTGGAGAAGAGGCTGGGGGCTGTGGTACTGAGGGGGGCCAGGCTCAGCACAGGGCCGCCTGACGACAGCTCCAGCCAGTCCATGTTGTCCAGGTGGCCATCAGCCAGGTCCAGGCCCATGCTGCTGCTAGGCTCAGGGACAAAGTGCAATTCCGAGGTGTCCATAGGTGATGGGGGGTGGTCCAGGATGGCAGAGCTGCTCAGCATCTGGCTGTGGAGGTCGTCAATGAGAGAAAGGGGCTCTGGCCCTTCGTGCCCACTGGTCAGCAGGGGCAGCCCCGTGCTGCTCTCCAGGAAGTCCTCCAGGCGCCCCGGGAGGGAGGGGGAGCCTGGCGGAGGCGGGGCAGCCTGGGGGAGCTCGGCTGAGGGTGAGGGCTGTGTGGCCAGCGGGGACCCACAGGCTGCTGTCGAGGGTGGCTTCTCCTTCCCTGGCAGGGATGGTGGCTCCTTGAAATCTGCTGAAATTTCTGCCAATCAAGACAGTGAATGGATGTTAGAAACCAGGCCTGAATATCTACATACAAAAGAGTGTAGGCAGACCCTAACCTCACACCACATACAAAATGAAATGGATTAAAGACTTAAAAGAAAACATAAGGGAAAACCTTTATGACATTGGATTTGGAAATGACTTCCCTGGTTACGACTTACTTCCCTTGTACTTCCCTTGTACTTACCAGAAGTACAAGACGACAAACTGGGCTACCTCAAAATTTAAAACTTTCATGCATCAAAGGGCACTATCAAGAGGATGAAAACCCACAAAATGGGAGAAAATATTTGCAAATCATATTTGATAAAGGATTAAGATCCAGAATACCTAATATGCAATAAAACCACCCAACCAAAAAATGGTCAAAGGACTTGATTACACATTTTCCCCAAAGAAGATATACAAATGGCCAATAGCACATGAAAAGATGTTCAACATTACTAATCGTAAGGAAAATGCAAATCAAACAACGAAATAGAGTAGCTACTCAAACCCACCAGAGTAGCTACTATAACGAAGTAGAAAACAGAAAATAAGAGGATGTAGACAAATCGGAGCCCCTTGTTGGTAGAAATATAAAATGGTCCAGCTGCTGTGGAAAACAATACCGAGGTTCCTCGAAAAATTAAAAATAGGACTACCATCTGATCCAGCAATCCCACTTCTGGACAGGTATCCACGTGCACACCCACGTCCACAGCAGCACTGTTGACAATGGACTGTGGAGGCAGCCTAAGTGTCCACTGATGGATAAATGGATGAACCTTGAGGATATTATACAAACTAAAATAAGCCAGTCACAAAAAGACTGCACTTGTATGAGATACTGAGAGCAGTCAAAGTCACAGAGACAGCAAGTAAAATGGTAATTACCAGGGGCTGGGGGAAGGGAAGAATGGGAGTTACTGTTTGGGTCTGGAGTTTCAGTTTTACAAGAGGAGAAGTAGAGCTAGATGTAGTATGAATGTATTTAATATCACTGTACTATACACTTAAAAATGGTTAAGATGGTACATTTTATGTGTATTTTACAATTTAAAAATTGGAAAAAAATTAGCGAAGATCTCAAGACATTTCTCCAAAAGAAGATACACAAATGGCCAATGAGCACACGAAAAGATGCTCAACATGACTGATCATTACAGAAATGCAAACCACACAAGGTATCACTTCACACCCATCAGGATGGCTATTATCATAAAATTGAAACATAAGAAGTGTTGGCGAGGATGTGGAAAAACAGGAGAAATTGGAACCCTCGACCATTGCAATGTCAAATGCTATAGCTGAAGTGGAAACAGTTTGGTGACTCCTTTAAGAAGTTAAACACAGAATTGCCATGTGATCATGCAATTCCAGTCCTAGGCATATGCCCAAAAGAACTGAAAGCAGGGACTCAGACACCTGCACACCAACATTCATAGCATTCTCAACAGCTAAAAAGTAGAAAACCCAGGTATCCATTAACAGGTGAACATACAAACAAAATGTACGTCCATACAGTGGAACATTATTCAGCCATAAAAAAGAATGAAATTCTGGCACATGCTACAGTGTGGGTGAACTCTGAAGACATGCTAAGTGAAAAAGCCAGTCCCAAAATGACCAACATTGTATAACATAATTCCTCTTATATGCGGTCCCCAGAGTAGTCAAATTCACCCACAGTAGAATGGGGGTTGCAGGGGCTGCGGGTAGGAGGAATGGGGAGTTACTGTCTAAGGGGTACACAGTTGCAGTCTGGGTTGATGCAAAAGTTTAGAAATGGATAGTGGTGCTGGTAAATGTACTCAACACTGAACTGTACACTTAAAGTGGTTAGAATGGCAGATTTCGTTATATATATTCTACCACACACAGAATTATACAGAAATCAGGCTTGCTCCCTGACCCATGTCCAGCCCCCTCCAGTCCCAGCTGAACATGCATTCCTTCCCTGACTGCTCTCAGCAGGGGACGAGCAGCGCCGGCATGTCCAGCCGCCACCACCTGCCCCACTCAAACCCCACCTCTCTTCTTTGAGAGCTAAGAACAAAAAAACCACACCCGCTTCTCTGGGCATCCCTGCCCCCTCTCTAGCCACTTCTCAGCATCCCTTCGGGGGCAGACACCATCCCCATCTCCCTTTTTCTGCCATCCCATAAATGCTAGAGTTCAAGGCCTGCTCCCTTCTCAAACAATCTCTCTTCTCTCGAGTCGCCGCATCCTTCCCAGTTTGTCTGCTTGGACCCTGGAACCTCCCGAAGCTCATTCCCAGGCTTGCGCTCCAGTCCAGCGGTCCTCAGCGTGGGTCCCACACCCGCAGCCTCAGTGTCACCTGCACCAGTTACAGACGCACCTCAGGCCCCTCTCCCCTAAAGCTTGAGACTCCCTGACGTCAGGGATTGACCTCAGCTATTGAACCCTTAATTTTATTTCTTTTACATCCCAGCAAGCTAAGAATGAGCTCTTATTTTAAACTGAAATAAGATTCATAAAACATAAAATGCACCATTTTAAAGTGTGCAGGTCCGTGGCTGAGCTCTTGCCTTGCCCACACCATCTCATCACTCCTCTTCCTACTTTAGTTAAAGCACTCGGAAGACAATGGCCAGCACCTGCACCACACGCCCCTGGTGCCACCAGTGAAGTCTCCATGCTCCTCTGGGAAGCCGCCACCACCTCCCCTGCTGAGGGGTCTTGCTCTGCAGACACGCTGCTGTCTCCCCCCAGCACCGGCCTGTTTCCTTGCTCCCCTGAGCAGGGAAGCCTTCCAGAGAGCTCTGCAGTGACCACCACATGCTCACTCCCAACTGGGCTTGTCCTTCGCTGCTGTGACTATCCTTGGCTTCCAGGACATCATGCTCTGCCCACTACTCAGCTGCACCTGCATGTCCCCCTCTGTCCTCTGCTCTTCCACCCTATGCCCTGGATGACCTCATAGCTCCAACTGCCAACCTGGATGCGACACTCCCCAGCCCAGATCTCTCTCCCAAATGTCACTGTCCACATGAATCCTTCACTCCAGTGACTCCTGACATACGTGAGCGCATCTGAGTCTGCGCCACCGTGTCTCCACACAAGCCCCCCATCTTGTCCTAGGACCTCAGGCTGTGGCCCTTGGAGTCATCCCTGGCTGCTCCCCCATCCCCTCACACCTAATGCATCAGGCCATCAAACTGGCTCTCCCAGACACACTCCGACTCCAGCCCCTCCTCCCACCTCACCGCTGCCCCACCAGGCTCCAGGCTTCTGCCCTTGAGCAGACCAGGCCACTCTGCTCAAAGCTGTGGGACAGCTTCCCAGCTGTTGAGCCAGTCCCCTGTCTTGGTGCCCAGGAGGTTCCACATGACCCACTCTTGACCACTGCCTTGTTCCCCTCCTTCCTCTTCCCTCTCTCTGCTCCTAGAACACCCACTTTCCTGAGGCCTGACTGGTGGCCTTCCCCAGGGACATCGCACATGGCTACCCACCTCGCCTCCTTCTCAGCAAGGCCTCCCCTTGCGCTCCCAAGACCTTTCTCCCTCCCCTGCAATTTTTTCCTAACGCTTCTGCCTTCTGACACGCCATACCATTCACTTGTTTTTTGCTGTCTACCTCCCCAGCTAGATGGGAACTCTGTGACGGAGAGCTCTCCGAGGGCGAGTGGCCGCAGCAGCAGGGGCCTCACAGCATGTCCTCCCTCTCCCCAGGCCTTGGAGACAGGGGCTGCTCTGGCCCTGCTGTACGCACAGTGGCTGACAAGGTCTCCCACTCACTGAAGTGTTTAAGAAATAAACAAAACCAAATTAACTAACCTAGGGTTCAAGAGACCTATGAACAGAGAAAGGGCTTCGGGGGGCAGCAGGGCTAGGGGTTACCTCCACTCTGAATAAGAATGTCAAACAGGTCATCCATCTGCTGGCTCGAGGAGCCATTTTCCTGTGGAACAAAAATAGAAACAAGATGAAATTTTGCCCAGGAAGCCCCCAGCCTGGCCTAGGAACAGGCTCTCTCCCTCCACTGCAGAGTGGGCAGCTGGACCCACCGTGCCCACGGCTGTGCTCAGACTCCCAGAGCCCACATTCACCCCATCAGGCCAGACTCTTGTGCCCTGGCCCCTAATGGCCTACTCTCCAAGGCTTCTTTGACCCCAAAGAGGTGGGACTGAGGGAGTTACAGCCTGACAGCCTAGGGGAGCCACCCACCCTGGCCACGCCCAAGCCACCTTCTTCACCTGCTGTTTGGGCTGCTGCTTCACGGTTTCCTCATAGCCAGGTGGCTCCTTCTTCAGCAGAGAAGTGGGGGTCCCAAAGAGGGGCTGCAGCGGGTGCTCCAGGTCCATCTGGGTGGGTTGGCCAGAGGCTGGAGAGCCAGGCTGGGACAAGGGCTAGAAAGAACAGGAAGAGGACCAGTGGTTGCAAATCTGCCTTGTCAGGGGCAGGGGACACAGGGCCTAAGAGTCCGTACACCCCAGGAGGGCAAGGCAGGAGGTGCTGCCTTCTTGGCCAGGCCAGCTTTACTAGCTGCGCCAGCTTTCAGGGAGCTTTTGTGGAAGCCATTGGGAAAGAAAGGACACAGGATGGGGAGCCCTGACCCCTAAGCCTTAAGGGAGTGATTGAATGCCTAGGGTCTGAGGAGAGAGGAGGGGCTCTATGCAGATCACTCCCCTGAGATTTCTGCCTCCCATCCTGAGCCGCCTGGTTCTTGTCACTGCCCACTCCAGCCCCAAACTCTGCAGGGCTGAGGCTATACACAGCAGCCTCACCTGGTCTGGACTGTGAGGGAGCCAGCTGCTGCTGACACCTTGGTGGCGTACAGCTGCCCTCTGAGGACAGGACCCTAAGCTAGATCCTGGGCCAGAAGGCCAATCCCACAGCCTCTCCCCAGAGCAGGGCACCTCTCTGGCCATCACCTGTGCCCTCCCCACCCCATGGACCAGTGCTATGGGAGGCTCCCAGCCTGGCTGGGGACTGCTTAGGGGCCTGGCTGCCAGAGTGCAGGAATGTTCTGGTATCAGTGGCCAGAGAAGTGGGCAGCTCCCTGATGGCTGCACTCTCCTGACCAGAGGGGTCTCAGGCAGGTCCTTCAACTTTCCAAAGTCTCAGTAGCTCTCTTGGTGAGATGGGGTGGTGATCTCTCATTTCGGAGGGTTGAAAGGAAGATTAAATGAAGCAAACATAAAATACCCAGCACGCAAGGATGCCTGGTACACACGAGGGGCCGTGAGAAGGATCTTCCCACCCTCTGGTCCCTGGCCTGCTCCCCCAATCCCCCATAGCCCACATACCTGCTGGGGGCTCCCAGTGGACAAGCCAGGGCTGTCTGCATTCTTATTGGTCACGGTGAGGACAAGGTGGGTCCCTGTGGAGTCAGTGATGAGGGTGGGAGGTGTGACCCCCTTGATGAGGCTGGGGCCCTGTGAGCCCAGCAGCAGCTGGGGGGCAGGGCCCGGCTCGGGCTCGGGCAGCACAGCTTCCTGTTTCACCACCACAGCCGGGGGCCCGGGGACCGGGGCACAAGTGTCCAAGTGGCTGGTGGTGGAGGCTGCCAAGCTGGGGCTGAAGGGGTGAGCAGGGCCCAGGGGTTGTCGGCTCAGCTGGCAGCTGGAGAAGCTGTTCTCCTGCTTCACTGGGGCACACAGAGGGGCCGGGGTGGGGCTGGGGGCAGGGGCGGGCTGCTGGCCCCGCTTCTCCTGCTCTAGCTGCAGCCTGAGCCGCTCCACCAGCTGCTGCTTCTGCCGGAGCATGCGGGTCAGCTCCTCGATCTGCTTGTCCTTCTCCTGCAGCATCTGGTCCTTGTCGCGACCCTCCAGCTCCGCCCGCCCCCCAGGGCTCAGGCAGCAGGACCCAGCCCGGGGGCCCTCCTCCTTCACCAGGATCTGCAGCGGAGAGGCCTGCAGGGTGAGCTGTGTCAGGGGTGATGTCACCATCTCACCAAAGGTGTCCCCAGGGGTGGAGTTCTCATCACCCGTGCTAAGCAGTGAGCGCTCTGAGGGGGTGGGAGACACGGGAGGTGTGGAGCCCGTGCTGCCAAATTTCACCACTCCATTGCTGGTCACCGTGGCCACCACCACCTCGGTTGGGGCCAGGCCTGCTGCCACCAGGGCTGGCCCCGTGCTCAGTCGGGCCGCCGGGAAGGCTACCACCACCTCGCCAGCCTTGGGCAGAATAGAGGTGGTGGCAGGGGCTTTGGGGCCTCCTGGGGCAGGGCTGATTTGGTCTTGGTAGGCACGCAGGCGCTCAATCAGCTCTGTCTTGGTGCCTGACACAGGCAGTGACCGCAACTTCAGCTCCTGCTTCAGTTCTGCCACCTGCAAGGGGTCAAGAGTCAGAGCAGCAGGGAGATGAGGGGCAGCTGGACAAAAGGAATTGGGTCCAGGCAGGAGGACAGTCTGGGGAGGCTGGGAGGGACGAGTATTTTATAAGTTGGGCCTCGTCTGTCCAGGCCCACTGGCCACTTTATATTTTATTATAGACAGGGGTCTCACTATGTTGCTCAGAGTGGTCTCAAACTCCTGGCCTTAAGCGATCCTCCTGCTTCAGTCTCCCAAAGTGCTAGGATTATTGGTGCGTGCTACTGTGCCCAGCTCCATCGGCCACTTTAGATGCATCAACTCCCCTATTCCTCCAACAGCCCTGGAGGTGAGATCCCCCCAACTCCCATGGAACCCCCACCCAGCACCCTCCCTTTCACTGTCCCCTCGCCGACACAGGCCTGGTTAAAATGCTCCCCTACCTCTGATAGGCAACAGGGTCTGGGCACATTGTGCTCACAGCTGTCCCCATCCCCCAGCACGATGCCTGGTGCTCACTAAACATTTAATTGAATGGATTGAATTTTACAGATGAAAAAACAGCTCATGAAAGTAAAATAACTTTTTCAAGATCACAGAGCTAGTGATTGGCCAGCCTAGGATTTAAACCCAGGCCAGATGGACTCTGAAGCCTGTGCCCAGCAGCCTCCATGAGTGCTGTGTCTTGCTGGGACCTGGATCATGATGCAGGAGGGGTCAGCCTGGTTCAGAGGACAAGTCCTCGAGGGAGAATCTGGTCTATTCCATCTTCTGACTGAGGCAGAGAAAACAGATGAGGCACTGGACATGGCCCACGCTCTAAGGCCTGAGGACATGAGCAAGCCCGCACCCATCTCTCCTTGGCAGACATGGCACCTGACCAGCAGGTTTAGCTGGCGTTAACTGGCCAAGTGGAAAGGGGCCCTGTCTACCACTGACCAGGTCTGGGGCCTTGGGCAAGCTCCTCTTTGTCAGTCTCAGCTTGTTCCTTTCTCAAGGGGGACCAATCGCACTGCAGCACAGAGGTCAGGGAAGGTAAGAGAGAGAGCACTGCTTGGTCCATCCCACAGGCCTGGACAGACACTGGTTGTGTCACTGATGATAGCAACTACCATGAGGCCAATGTTTCTATGACCACAGCCAAGCAGGCCTTGGAGCAGGTTCCAAGGTACCTCTGTCTAGTGGAGACCAGAGCCCAGAGCCCCGCGCTGCCTTCCATGATGGTGGGCCCTGGGCTGGCTGCCTTCCCTGCTTAAAAACCAGCACCCAGACAGCCCCTATGGGAGAGGCCAGACTGGCCGTGGTTCAAGTCTTTCTGTGGGAAGGGGGCAATCACCTACCTTCATGTCATCCAGGTTGGCTGGCAGGGCTCCTGGCTTGCCAGTCATCGAGGTGCTGTTCTGACGTGCCAGTGCATTGGGCCCCGGGGCGCCCGAGCCGGAGCTGCTATTGGTAGTGGAGAGGCTACGCACCGTGGGGGCCCCACTACTTCCCAGAGCCTCACCTGCCGACCTGAGAAGATGAAAAGACAGAAATGGGTGCCCATCAAGCATCAGCCTTAGCTGCCACCTGGGCTGCAGGTTTGGGTACAAATGGACATGGGGCAAGTACCCTGCACGCAGGCCAGAGAAGTCCTGCCTAGGGACCACTCTGTAGGATCCAGGCCAAAGAGTCCTTTAAGACCTGGGTTTCTTAACACTGGCATGTGCCTATCTTGGGGCAGCTACAGGCGGGCAGGGAACAGACAGTGTGCGGGGTGGGAGGGCTCCTACTTTGGCGGGGCAGGCAGGATGGTCTGGTAGTTGTAGTGCTGCTGCTGCTGCTGGTTGAGGATCTGCAGCTGGAGGAAGAGCTGCTGCTGCTGCAGGATCTTGGCGTAGGAGGAATCCATGGGTGGGGCTCCCTTGTCCTGCTTTTGGTCCGGGGGGATGTACTGGTGATACTTGAGCTTCTTCACCTTTGGCTTCAGCTCCTTGGCCTTCTTGCTGCGCTGCGACTTCTCACTGGCAGACTTGGGTTGGCTTTGCTGAGGGCACAGGAGATGGTGCCATCAGAGGGCAGCCTCAGTCTTCCCAGGGTGGGGCTGGCAGCCCTCCCCGCACCTGCGCGGCTTCTAAGAAGGCCATCATCCACTTCACCCACTTCCACTCCTCCCCTGCTAGGCTGTGCTCTCCACCAAAAGCAGAGGCCCCTACAGTGCCCGGAAGTGTGCCAGGGAGAGGGATAACAGAGGGGGCTTTGGGATAACAGAGAGGGGCTTTGCCCGGCCCGTCTTAAACAAGTTTCCAGCCTAGAGAAAAAATCAACTGAACGTACAGGCACAGACACCACCATGCCCCTGAGCAGAGTGTGAACACCATGAGGAGGTACAACATAACTGGCTGACGGAGTATGGGCCGGGCCAGACCAGACCAGGCACTTTACAGACTGTGCCACGCAAGCCTCTCACCAATCCTGCCTAGGCAGCAACTGTCATGTCTACTTAAAAACAAGGAAACAGGTTCAGAGAAGTTACTTGCCCAAGGCGACACGGTGATTTCGATCTTGATCCAACCCAGAACTCCAAAAGCTCCTGCTTGTGTCCCAAATGTGCCCCACAGACTCCTGGGTGGCACAACTGCAGGACATGGAGGGTCAGAAGACCCAGACCGACCAAGGGCCAGTAGGCCATGCTCTGGGGGAGCTGTCCTTGGGGCCAGGAAGGATGAGTTGGATGAAGGGCAAGAATTAGCAGGGGAGTGCCAGAGAGGGACAGTGGAGAGCCTGGAAGTTTCTGGGTAGAGAATGGCAGGCAGAGGAGAGACTTGGTACAGGGGTCAGACAGGGTCTCAACCAGACAGTAACGGGTGCCAAAAGGAAGGTCTGGCAGAGGTGACCCACTAGGAGAACAGGCAGCGTGAATGTGTGGCAGGTGAGGAGTTAAGGTTCGTGAAGTTGGGAAGAGGTTCTGGTTTTGCCAGGGAGTGTGGATAAAGGAGAGGTCTGTTGAGCTGCAGGGAGGACCCTGAGCACAGGCCAAGGAATGGAAGAACCTTGGGGAGGAACAAAAGAGGAGGACAGACCCCAGGGCACACCCCCTTCCTGGGAAGAGGAAAGGGAGCAAGGAAAGTGCAGTGGCTGAAGAGAGGGAAGCCCTGGGAGCTGGGTGGGGAGGCGGACGCTGCCAGGAGGAGAAGGCAGGGAAGGCGGGTCTGGATTAAGGACCCTTAAAGAACATGTTTCAGTCCCCTGGTGGGGATGGAGCCAACCCACAAGAGGCTGAGGCATAAACCAGAAGAGAAGTGTAGACAGAACACATACAAGTGATTCTTTCAAACACATGGTGGTCAAAGGAAGGCGCAGGCGTGTGGCAAGCAATGCATTGGAGGGAGGAATTCTAGGGGAACCTGTGACATCTGAGGATGTGAGGAAGAGGTTGCAGATGCGAGAGGTGCCAATGAGGCAACGTCCTGGTACACAGATGACATCTAGGACACAGGTGGCCTAGGAGGGGCTACTCCCTGTTCCCCTGGGGCCTAGGGGAAGAGACAGTGACAGAGAAGCTACAGTGACTTTCGGACACAAGCAGGGCACTGATGGCCTCTGCAGAGATGACACACAGTCATGTGCAGACAGAGGTGGAACTGGGGATGTTGTCACCATAGGACAGTGCCAGGGAGCTCCAGAAGATGGACAGGCAGCCCCCAGAGCCTCAGCAAGGGCTCAACTAAGGCCGGAGCACGAGAATCACACTGCTCACAGGCTGCAAGCTGTCCGTCTCTCCTGATGCTCACGGCGAGAGGACAGGAGCCACAGATGGTCCTGGATGGCCAGGGGTTGCCAAGCACAGGATCTGTGGGGAGGGAGCCTAGAGAAGAATACAGGACAGAACGGAGAGCACAGGATGAAGCATGCTGGGGAGGTGTGGGCCAGGTAGAAGTACAGGACTCGGATCCCAGAGATCAGGCGGTTCTGCAGGGTGGGGATGGCCTGGCATTAGCTTTTGGTGCTGTTAAACGTAGTATTGGACATGTTTGTGCATGTGAGGCCAGCAGTGCACAGCACTGTCGCCCACACCAATGACAGCAACCCCTACCACCTTCAGGTATTTCAGGTCAAACACCCAATGGTGCCAGCTGTCTGACTTTGGGCATGCCACTTTACTTCTCAGTTTCCTCATTTGTCGCACAGGGCTGCCTTAGGCTGTTGTCCAGGGTAATGTGTGGGAGTGTCTTCATGGATAAGGGCAGGAATGAGCACCTAGAAAGCGCTAGGCTAGGGCCTGGCACAGTGGGCTCAATAAACAGTGGCTGTGAGCGTTGACAGCCAGTGTCTCTACGGCTGGTAGGAGATGATACGCACCCCACCCCTGCAGCTGTCCTCACAGCTGGGATGAAGTCATGACAGGACTCTGAGGGGCGCAGAGGAGGAGAGGACATGATCACTAGCAGGACTGTACCTTAATGAGCGTCGGGGTGGGCTTGGCAGTGGGGACCGAGGTTCCGTTGGTGAGGCTGGGAGGCAGCAGAGGTGGGGGAGGCAGAGGAGGCTGCTCTGCTAGGAAGAGCATTTCTCCGGAATCTGGCCCCATCGGGAGTTGAGACACAACCTGAGAGGGGAGAGGAGAGAGGGGAGAGGAGAAGTTAGGGCACCAACTACCTCCAGGAGGAGTGTGCCCAGCTGCCCCTGCTAGGAGCCAGGGGCCCTGCACAGGGAGAGATGGTGGCAGCCCCTCCTCAGAAGGCAGAGATCGAGAGACAAGAGGAGCAACCCCAGGGAGGCTGCTCTGAATGAATGCAAATAGGGCTCCATCAGGGAGGTTTGCAGAGCTAACTGCAGGGCACCCTTAGCCAGCACTCTCTACCTAGGACCCGGGCTGTTGGAGAGAGGGCCCACTGCCCACATCTCCTGACTTACCACCGGAACCATGGGAGCTTGGGCAGCCAGGACCTGCACTGTGCTACTAGGGCAACGTGCCCCTGGCTTCCCTGTGCCAGAGGAGGAGTCACCATGTAGCCCGAGAGACAGATCTTATTTTGGGCAGCCCCAGTGACCTTGGGGAGGCATCTGGACGTGGGCAAGCTCACCTGAGTGGGGGAGACAGAAGTGGCACTGGGCAGTGGTTCGCTGACTCGGGCCTCCAGGGGTGACGGCACTGAACCCTGGGACTCATGGCTGGCAGGCTGCTCAGGGGATAAGGCATCGCTGCTGTCCTCATCGAAGGAAGAGTTGTCTGCCACTTTCGGATAATTCACCTGGCCCACTGAAACCCAAAACCAGCATGAGACTCCACCTCCAGCCCCAGTGCACAGGTAGCAGGGAGGAAAGAAAGGCCTTACTTGCTGGCCAGAGGCTGTCTCAGCAAAATGCCTGGCCCTCAGCCCCCATGCCCCGAGAGGCAGCCAGACCAAGGGAGACTAGCCACCAGGCTGCTTTCTTACTTCAAAATAACTCTAGGAAAGGTCATCATTATGACCCTGTACCAGAGGCCAGAAAGGCCCCTGTGGCCATCGGAGTGCTCCCTTGGGCTGAGGCCTCATTTTTATCCACTTGCTTTTAACTCTATACTGAGTTTAGCCTTCAAAGTCAGGCTCCTCCCTCTCTTCCTATAGCCTGTTCCTCCCTGGGAGACCCAGGCTGCCTTTCCACTTCATGTTTCCCTGCTTTTAGATATATATATATATATATCTCCATCCTGTGGCTACACAAATCTCTCTTCTTTCTCCTGATGCTTACAGACCATGCAATGAGGGCTCTGAACCTGCTGGTAAGGGACCACAGGAGCTTGGGTGACAGGCACGTGAGAGCGGCTGACTTCTCCAGAGGCCAGGAACAGGCCAAGGAGCCTGGCTGTGAGGCTGTGGGTGGAGGGCATCCTGGGAAAGGGACACAGGCCTCCACAGATGGAAGAGGTTCAGCAGAAGTATGGTGACCTACTTTAGGGGCCACCGACTCCCAGAGACCCAATACCTGGGCAGCAGGGGCATCAGAAGGAAACACCCTGCTGCCCATGGCTACCCTGGCCTGACCCCCAGCCAAGCCCCGGGAGGGCTGTGTGAGCGTGTCTTTCTGGGGCTGGCTGGGGACAGAGGCAGGAAGGAGGGCACGGCCCAGGGCTTCTGCTCCACTGGCTCCCTGCATGGGACTCCCAGGCTACAGAGGGAAGGAAAGACTGGAACAGAGACAACAAAGGCATTTCAAGAGTCAAGCCATAACCACCATCTCAGCACTATCACAGGAAGAGGCAGGTGTGGCAGGCTCTGAGCAGGCTCGCTCTACACAGGAGGAACTGAGGCAGTGGCGAAGGCAGAGGTGAGCTGCCGGCCAAGCCTGGGAGGCATGCCATGTGGGAAGTCCCCAGATAAGCAAGAGGAACAAAGGCCGACTGCTAAGGCTGGGCTTGTCCAGGTGGTAACTCTCCCAGCAGCGCTTCCTCTTCAGGGCCAGGACCTGAGGCTCTCTCCTCCCCTGGGACCTGGGAAGGCTTCACCTGAGCTCCTCCCTTACTGGGCAACTGTGGCAACAGAGCCAGGAGCAAGTGTCCATAGCTGGGCTTGCTCCTCTGTCCCCTCATCTGTCCCTACAAGGGCAAGCATGCAATGTGCAGAAGGCATGGCCCTTGCTGGCCACATATCCTTCATGTCAATCTCTAGCAGCCACATGGTGGCCAGCACTGATGATGGTGACCCAGGATGGAGAGCTGCAGCTCCCACCCTGAGCAGTCCAACCTAAGGAAGCTGCTGGCCATGCTACGGAAGATGCAGGGTTGGTGCAGGCCAGGGTCACTACAGAGTCTATTTCTCTCTCCACTGTGGTCAGCGCTCCACTGCTACCAGTGCTGCTGAGTAGGAAGGCCACGGCCCTGTGATGCTGCAGCTGAGTCACCTTCTTTTGGGACTGTGTGCAGGATGACATGCAGTGACGGATATAAAGGGCCCAGCATGGTCCTTGACGGGATCCCTGCCCTCTAAGAGTTTATCATCCAGTCTCCTCAGAGCAGAGCAAATGCTCTGCTAGAGGGAAACACGGCAGCTAAGGGCATGCGGAGGAGAGACTCAGGGAAGACTTCCTGGAGGAGAGGGCTTGACATGGATCTTGAAGATAATTATGAGTGGCCTGAAGGAAAGGGGTGTGTGTACGCGTGAGCACATGTAAGTGGGCTCAAGTGTGTAGAGAAGACTCCAAGCCCCTTGCCAGCCCCATTCTCAGTAGGCCTCAGGATGGTCCCCTCCCCAGCCTCCTGCTGCCCGCTGCCTTCCCTCCGTCTCCCTCTCCTCCTATCTGGACCAAACCTCCACCTTGCTGTCAGCGCCAGGCTCCTCAAATGAGCCGTGTTCCACCAGGCCACTGGCCATGCTGCTCCCTCTGCCTGGAATGTCTCTCTGTACTTCTCCACCTGGCAAACACTGATCTAACCTCCAGGTTGCCCACAGATGTGCTGTATCATGTGTGGGTACCTCTCTAGCCACCACCACTTATCTTCATCCCTGAGAGAAATCCCTCTGCCAAGCTCCCCCTGCACTGACACCCCCCCCCCCATTATACTCTGTCAAAAGTATATATACCCGGCCAAAAGAGCATTATTGTTGATGATAGCAGCAATCATTACATGAGCCTCTAGGCACTGAGGGCTGTGCTGGGCCCTTAATATCCATAATTGTGTGTGATCCTACAAATAGTCCCACAAGGAGGTGACTCAGCTGCGATGTCACAGAGCCATAGCCTTCCTACTCAGCACTGCCATCTGACCAGGAACCAGACTCAGAAATCACTTGTTTATACATCAGTCTTCTCATATCAGACTGAGGTGAATTCCTTGAGGGCAAGAGTCATATTTTATTCATCTTTGTGACATTAGGACTGCACACAGGGCCTGGCACATTGCAGACTCTCGGCAAATGTTTACCAGACTGTAGCTGGCTGCAGAGTCCAGAAATGCTTTGGCCTGTAGCTAGGGGCTGCTGAGAAATATGGGGAGAAAAACACTGAAATGAGGTAGGATGAATGCCACTGAAACTGTTAAGGGCTACACACCAAAATGGGAAAAGGGCTATTGGGGGCCCAGGGTGTGCCGGCTTCCAGCAGGGTGGCTGCAACACAGATGAGGCCCTAGAAACCACCAGTCTCCTTTGATCAAGGCCTTGGGGTCTGCCTCAGTGATTCCCCTCTCAGGCCCTCCCCAAAGCTATTATAAAATGTGTACTGTGGAAACCTTGAGCCTTTCTCTGAAGGCATAGCTACCTTGGGGAAGGCATGCATGTGCAGTCTTGTCAGGGATCAGGTTTTGGGCCCACTGCAGTGAAGAAAATATGTCTGTACCAACTGTCACAAAAATCTAAGTGTGGTATAATAAGAAATATATTTATTTTTTTCTCCTAGTTCCTATCACAGAGCAACTAAAACCCATGGAATTTCCTTAAGGACAGGAGAATTTTTTGTTATTCATAATAAGCCCCTGTCCATAACACCTGAGCTTGTGCTAATGAGGTGACTTGGGTGGGAGGGATGCTTAGGTAGCCCAAGGATTGGGCCAGACACCAGAAAGACCAAGTAATTAGAGGATTTGAGGACTAGAACTTGCAGTGTCCTGTCCCCATCAACCTGCAGGAAAGGTGGGGCAGGGGATGTGGGGGCCTGGAGACCAAGTTCTATAAAAACCCTTGGACAACAAGAGTTAACGAGCTTCAGAGTTGCTGTACACACAGAGGCACCAGGAGGGTGGTACACACCTCACCCATTGCTTCTTCTGACTGTTCATCTGTACCCTTTGTAATATCCTTTACGAAAACCCAGTAAATGTAAGTAAAGTGTTTCCCTGAGTTCTGTGAGCCATCCTAGCAAATTATTGAACCCAAGGAGGAGTTGTGGGAACCCTGATTTATAGCCGGTTGGTCAGAAGTGCAGGTCACAAACTGAGACTTGCAACTGGCGTCTGAAGTAGGGGCAGTCTTGTGGGACTGAGCCTTCAGCCTGTGGAATCTGACACTATCTCCAGGCAGACACTGTCAGAATTGAACTGCATTAGAGGACGCTCAGTAGGTGTCCACTGGAGAATTCCGTGGTGTACAGGAAAATACCAAGCCAGAACACCAATACCAGAAGTCTGGAGCACTGTGTTGAGTGTGAGAGTTGAGAAAAAACAGGGTTTTTATTCCCTTACACTAAGGGAATCAAGTCGGAACTCCTGAGCATGGCACCAGAGGCCCTGCACGTCCTGGACTGCTCACCTCTCCTCATCTGTCTAGACACTATTCCTTCCAATGCCTTCTTACCAGATCCCAGGCTGCTCTCCCTGCCTGGAGCACTGTCCCCTCCTCTCACCCCCCACCCACTCACACACTTTGGCTAATTCCTAATTATCCTTCAGCCCTAGGCCCAGCTGTCACCTCCTCTGAAAGCTGCCCTCCCCACTGTTGAGGCTGGGCTGGGGGACTCGCCTCTGTGAGGCCCGAGCATCCTGTGCTCCCTCTAGCACAGCTGCTGCTTATTCACCTGCCTAGATCTGCTCCGAAGCATGAGCTCCATGGGGATGGAAGAAAATAGTCTGGTCTGTGGGGCTGTGATCCTAGCACCTAGCACACCACCTGGGCCCACCAATATTTGTTGAGTGAAATATTAGTATCTGTGGAGTGGGCTGGGCTCTAAGAAGAGATTTCACCAACAAAAATAAACAGTAAGGTCCAGATTTCTAATTCCTGGCACCTCTACGTGTTCATACATGTTGATCATGACATCTACCTACCCTGTGAAAGAGGAATAAGTCCCTGAATTTACAGAGATGGAAAGTGAACACAGACCTTTCTGTTTATTTATTCAGTTATTTATTATTGTATGTCCCTGATCCCTGAGGCAGCTGGCACTGTCCCAAGCTAACACAACCTGCTTATCAGGCCCTCAAACTCTGTGCCTTGGTTCTCCCACGGCTAGGCAGGAAGTCTAAGAGCAAGAAGCCAAGAGGCCCAGCCCAATCCTGCTGTAGTCACTGCACTCCCTCCCCTCCTGCATCCCGGCTGCAGCCCACACAGGGTGGCTGGGCCCCTCACCAATGATGGCTTCCTTCAGGCTGGACTCCACAGGCAAAATGTTCTTCTCCACTAGCTCCATGGGGCCAGGCCTCTGTGCAATCTTCTCATTGAGGTCGTCAGCTAGCCTGGCTCTCTTCAGCTTCAGCTGCTTGGCCTGGAGGGAAGGCTCGGCTGAGGTTTCTGTCCATGGGAAAGAATGGTGTGCAGGAAGATGTATGAGTGGGCCTGGTTCTGCCCTGGGAACCCCAGAGCAGCTCTCCTTTCTCCTGGACAGGAGCAGAGACTGTCAGAAGGGAAAGCATACCCTGGGCAGAGAAGGGGCCTGGCCTGAAGTCTCATAAGAACAAAAGAAGGGCCCCTGCTGCGGGCAGCACATGGTCACACACAATTGTGCCCAGGTATGGGTCAGCTGAGAAGACTTTCTGAGGTGCAGCTGCAGAGCTAAAGGAGCACCAGCTGATGCAAGGGTCTCCACTTTCCCTGAGACTTGCTGGTTTACCGGGTAATTCACCTCTCTGTTCTGGCTTTCAGTGTCTTTATTTGCAAAATGTAGGGTTCAGAATAGAAAAATTCCCTTCCAGCCCTAAAGACAGCTCAAAACTAAACAAACCAAAAGTAGATATATTTATGCTGCTTCCAGGAACCAAAACCTTTCCTTCACTAAAAATGTGGAAATGTGTGTGGCTGGGGGCAGGTGGGGTACATCTAGGACGCTCTTAGACAAAGAGGGCATTTTTTTGTCACTAGTGCTCAAGTAAATGCCAAGAGAATGAATGAATGAATGAATGAATGAATGAATGAATGAATGAATGACTATAAAAAAGAAATGAATGCATTTTAAAAGCAGATTTTGGAGGAGAGCAGGGATATGCCCTGGCAGAGGGAAGTGATTTCACACCAAAGGATGGTGAGACCCAGGAAAATAAGTCAAGCCAACCCAAGAGAATGTGACTGTGCTTCTTGGGAATTGCCCCAAACCAGTGGTGGCCACCACAGCACAGTTGTCTTATTGTGCTAGACTCTGGCTCACCCGCTACCAACAGAAGTGGGAGTGAGAAGCAAGGAGGAGACAGAAAGGAAGTGGGTGGTGCAGCACTGAGCACATGGTGAGAACAGGGTTTAGATGAGAAGCATTTCCAATCTCACACACCTTCCAAAATGTGCATCCTGACCAGCTCCGATCTCTCAGGCCTGGAACGAATCTTCCGTTTCAAATAGTCCTCTGTCTATCGAAAAAACACAACAAGAAATTCTCAAATCCAGGGCACAAGCTTATGGCACAGACAGTCCCACAAAGCAGCCCTGGCCACAGTGGCTGCTGCTGTTTATCTCTGTAGCCCCCGTGACCTCAATTTGGTGACTGCAGGATTCTGAGGCCAGGGGAAGCTACATTAACTTCTGATTGCACCTGCCAAGTGCTCCATCCTTTAAGACAATTTGTCTCTCTGAGGCTGGAATACTACTGTATCTATTAAAAAAACTATTACTTTTACTATCATAAAAGTAATATAGGGCTGGGTGCAGTGACAAACATCTATAATCCCAGAACTTTGGGAGGCCAAGATGGAGGGATTACTTGAGGCCAGGAGTTCAAGACCAGCCTGGGCAACATAGTGAGACCCCATCTCTACAAAAAAATTAAAAAATTAGCAGGGCATGATGTGTAAGCCTGTAGTCTCAGCTACTCAGGAGGCTGAGGCGGGAGTATAAACATCATCTGAGCCCAGGAGTTTGAGGTTACAGTGAGCTGTGATCATACCACTGCACTCTAGCCTGGGCAACACAGCGAGACTGCATCTCTTAAAAAAAAAAAAAAAGTAACATGTTCACTGAAGAAAATTTAGAAAATTAGCAAATAAAACAATAAAAAATTCTAATTATCCACTATAATTTGGGATATCTGTTTCTAGTCATTCTTCTATGCAGAAGATAAGTTTAACTTTGCAGAGTTGTAATCATACTGAACATAATTTTATATCCTGTTTCAAAAAAATCAGCACTGTGTGATCTCATGAACATTTTCCATTCATTCTGAGTGGCTGCTGACTGGAACACTAATTTTCTTACATAGGGTCATAGTTCTAGTTCCTCAAAGTCCGATGTCCTCATTTCTCCATTTATTAAACTCTGGGCAAACTAGACCATTCCCTTAACAGTCACAGAGTCACCCCACTGCCTGGGGCTAATTATAATATATATGTGACCCCAAATTGACTCCAGAGCTTGTACTCTTAACCTTTGCACCAGCAGTTTTCAAACCATAGAACATTAGTGAGTCAAGACCAGCACAGAACAGGATAGTACAGGGTAAGATAAAGCACAGTAGGAAATGAAGTATCAAAGCTTATTATTAATATATCTAGCAAAGGCCAATGGTGGTCCTTGCCCTGGCCCTCTGCTGCCTCAGTGCTCTGGCTGGGCAGCTCTGTGCCAGCCCAGGGGTAGGGAGGGGAGTGTGCTGAGCTCTCCAAGAGATGGTTTAAATTAAAGCGCCTTTGGGCTCTGGGTCTATCACCCCATTTGCAGTAGGCAGAGGTCCTGCCTCAGGTACTGCAGAGGATGGTAGAGCAGGTGTCTGGTACTGTAGGTCTTCATAGACATCAAAGGGAGGCATGTCTTCTAAACCATCTGAAGCTCTCAACAATGGCCAAGGATGAGGTAGAATATAGTAATGATTAAGAAAATATCGGGCCAGGCCCGGTGGCTCACGCCTATAATCCTAGCTCTCTGGGAGGCTCAGGCAGGTGGATCGTTTGAGCTCAGGAGTTCGATACCAGCCTGAGCAAGAGCGAGACCACGTCTCTACTATAAATAGAAAGAAATTAATTGGCCAACTAATATATCTAGAAAAAAATTAGCCGGGCATGGTGGCGCATGCCTGTAGTCCCAGCTACTCGGGAGGCTGAGGCAGCAGGATGGCTTGAGCCCAGGAGTTGGAGGTTGCTGTGAGCTAGGCTGATGCCACGGCACTCACTCTAGCCTGGGCAACAAAGTGAGACTCTATCTCAAAAAAGAAAG